AGGTGTCACATGGCAAGAAAACATTCACATATACTGAAACAAATCATTAAACTGGAAAGAAGTGATGCCAATTACAGTGTGTACAATTCTTTTTTTTTTTAATGGTGCCTCTTAGAAGAGATTCATGAAAAGATTTGGTTGCCTTCCAACACTTTACTACTTATCTTTTAATTTGCATAGACCATTTTCTACAGATGCACAGAACACATGTATATTAAACATTAAAGTGGCTTAATTTATGTCCCAAACTTATAAAATCAAATAAAGTCTGCACTAATGGTGGACCTTTAACTTTTCCCATTGTGCTTAATGACCATCCCTATTAAGCCTACCAGTATGATTTTTCAATATCTCAGAAGCACAAACCATCCTCTGGAGAAAAATAGATAATACAAGCTCATTGTGCTTGTATTGTCTATTTGTATTATCTAATTGTGCTGGAGGAGGTCAGGTTATATTTTCTTTTATAGAATAGGGAGAAATTTTTAGTTTTTTGAAATATTTTTTTTCTTTCAGGAGAGTTTTGCACAGTTAATACTTTGTGATAAATGTTCACCAGAGGATTTTCTTAATTCTTCTTTTACAAATTCATGGGTTCTTCTGTCCTCCTAACTTCTTTCAATATTGTGAAAAATTAGTTTTATGAAATATTTAACCAAAGAGACCTGGATGTTTAGAGAAATTGAGGAGATGTGGAGGGGTCACTGAGCCCTCAGTGCCTCTGGTATCTTTTCATTTCTCTAAATATTGAGAAAAAATTAAGCAGTAATAATGTGCAAAGTCAACATGTTAACTTTTTTAATATAGAGATTCTTAGGTGTAATATGTGATTTCTTCTTAAGTTTTTCTTTTTTAATTACAAAATGTAATCCTGAAACTGATGTACAACTCCTTCATTATAAAACAGTTTTTTATTCAAGTATAATTAACATACAATTATATTAGTTTCAGGCATATAGTATAATGATTCAGCAATTCTATGTATTTCTCAGTGCTCATCAAGGTAAGTGTACTCTTTATCCCTTTTAATTATTTCACCCATTCTTCCACCCACCTCCCTTCTGGCAACTACCATTTTGTTCTATATATTTAAGTCTGTTTGTCTCTTTCTTTTTTCTTTGTGTCTTAAATTCCTTGTAGGAGTGAAATATTATGGTATTTTCCTTTCTTTTACTTCTCTTGATATAATACCCTCTAGGGCCATCCATGTTGCAACAAATGTCAACATTTCATTCTTATGGCTGAGTTATAATTCATTCTATGTACTTACCAGTTGATCTCTATATCCATTCATATATTGATAGTCACTTTGGTTGCTTCCATATCTTGGCACTTCTAAATAATGCTGCAGTAAACATTGGGATGCATACATCTTTTTGAATTCCTGTTTCCATTTTCTGGGAGTAAATATCCAGTAGTGGAACTGCTGGATCCTATGGTAATTCTCTTATTAATTTTTTGAGAAACCTCTATACTGTTTTTCACAGTGATTGCACCAATTTGTATTCCCAGCAGGGCATGAGGGTTCCTTTTTCTTTATATCTTCACCAACACTTACTATTTTTTGTGTTTTTTTTTTTTAATTTTAGCCATTCTGACTAGTGTGAAGTGCTGTTTCATTGTGGTTTTGATTTGCATTTCCTTGATAATGAGTGGTATTGAACGTGTTTTTATGTGTTTGTTGGCCATCTGTATGTCTTCTTGGGAAAAATGATACTTCAGGTCCTCTGCTGATTTTTTTTAAAGATTTTATTTATTTATTTGACAGAAAGAGAGATCACAAGTAGGCAGAGAGGCAGGCAGAGAGAGGAGGAAGCAGGCTCATTGCCGAGCAGAGAGCCCGATGCCGGGCTCGATCCCAGGATCCTGAGATCATGACCCAAGCCGAAGGCAAAGGCTTAACCCACTGAGCCACCCAGGCGCCCTATCCTCTGCTGATTTTTAAGTGGATTATTTTTGTTGTTGACTTGTATGAGTTTTCCATATTTTTGGCAATTAACCCATTAATTGGATGTATTATTTGCACATACCTTCCCTAATTCACTAGGTTGCCTTTCAATTTGTTAATGGCTTGCTTTCCTGTGCAGAAGCTTTTTATTTTGGTGTAGTCCTAATAGTTTAATTTTGCTTTTGTCTTTCTTGCCAGAAGAGACAAATCTAGGAAAAGATATCCACAAGCAGTGTCAAAAAAGGACTGCCTCTGTTTTCTTCTAGGAATTATATAGTTTCAAGTTTCACGTTAAATATTTCATTCATTTGTATGTTTCATTCATGTGTATGGTGTAAGAAAGTGGTCCAATTTTAGTCTTCTACATGGAACTGTCCAGTTTTCACAACACCATTTCTGGAAGAGACCTTTTTTCCCCCCACTGTATATTTTTGGCTCCTTTGTCATAGATTAATTGACCATAAAAGCATAGTTTTCTTTCTGGACTCTCTATTCCACTGACTTGTATGTCTGTTTTTGTGCTAGTAGCATACTGTTCTGAGTGCTACAGAGTTGTAGTGTATCTTCAAATCTGGGAATGTGATAGCTCCATTTTACTTCTCCTTTTTCAAGATTGCTTTGGCTATTTGGGATCTTTTGTGGTTCCATACAAATTTTAGAATTACCTGTTCTGGTTCTATGAAAACTGATGTTGGTATTTTGATAGGGATTGCAGTAAATCTGTAGATTGCTTTGAGTAATACTGACATTGGAATGGTACTTGTTCTTCCAATCCATGAGCATAGATCCGAGCAGGATGGCTGTAGTTCTCTAAAGTGGCCAAAGACAATCTCGCTGAGAAGGAGTTATATTTTGTACCTTGAAGTACTTATCTAAACGTGCTTCACAAACCTTGAAGTCTATGCAAATATTTTAGATGAGTAAACAGACTCTAGCAAAACAATTTGCCAAGGGATTGCTTATCTCATTTTGTTCAAAGAAGGCAAAATGAAGATCTGTAACTTGGGATATAAAATAGAACATAGTCACATTCAGTCTTGAAATTTTTACCTCAACTCAGTGAATAGGTTCTTTGTTTTTTGACCTGCTTTATAGTTATTCTGTGTCCTTTACCTTTTTTTAGCACAAACCAAGGAAATTTTTCAACAGAGTTCCTGAATAAACAAAGAATTTTGGTTCAAATGTCTGTTTGATAATTTCTCTTTAGTTAAAGCTGATTTTATTCTTCACAAGAGATTCATAGTTGTGAATTCCTATTTTCCCATCTTAAATAGGGGTTTATATTCTTTGTTTCTAAAATGGGGATAGAATATCTGATCAGAATATTCAGACTGAAATTCATTTGGTGAATGTGAACAATTAGCTTGGGCAGTAGTAATGGGAAATTTCAGTTCTCTTTACAGAGACTGGCAGAAAATCTCATTGGGACATGATGGAAAAGCAAAATTTAGAAAAATGCAAGACTATTCGTGTGAGAAGAATATAGCTAACAACTGGCTGAAAATGGTTGAATTAGGATATATCAGACAAACAAATTAAAATATCAGTAAAAGACCCTGAAATCCATTATTGATTTCTTAAAGCTAATTCTGGGCAAGATTGCAGCCAAATATAGGATCACTATTAATATTGTGTAGGACAAGGCCTGGGCAGATAGAAACAGTAGATTCTCAGTTCAAATTCAGTGGATGTTAAGTACTTGTGTTTGTTAGTACTGAATTTGATGTAAGGAATGGAAAGATAAAATGTGTTTTCCTAATTTTATTTCCTATAGTCCTCACTGGAAAACTTTCAGAGTTCCACTCTCAAATTTTATTTGGAGGTAGTCAAATCAGGTGGACTCCATTATGTATTGGAATATAGAATGGTGTTCTAGAATTAATTGATGGAGTCCATCTGAGTCTTCTTTGGAGAAGAAGAGTAGGAGAAATATTGTACATTCTTTGCCAAGAAGTGTACAGTGTATATTATAAATGGCTGTTACCATAAAGAAGAGTAAACACAAACACAATTTAAATGACAGAGGCAACTTGAAGAGTGGCAAGACCATACCAATGCCAGAAGACATAGATTCTTTTGTTTCTTCAGCCATTACTTAATCTTTAGGAACCCAATTTCTTTGTCTATAAAAGGGATACTATAATCCCTTTACTGAAAGGTTTTGGTATAAATCAAGTACAATAAGACACATTACAAATCACTGTAATCTGTAAAGTACTGTTCCTGAGAAGAATATAATTATTAATGGAGAATTGTAACTGTTTATGTGTGATTCCTGTTTTATCCTGGATGTACCTTTCAAAATACTGCTCAATTTGTCCTTCCCTTTTCAGCCTGAGGAAGTTCCTGAAGGGTGTAATGAATTTATATCTTCTAATATGCTTATGACAGACAGATGAGAGTAATTCAGTAGTAGTTGTCTCTGTGCTGTTGGGTTTTAAAAAAAGAGCTTACATACATTCAGTGTTCCAGGCCCTAATTAAAAACTTTACCTATATTAACTTTTTAAATCTGCATGGCAATTCTATGATGTGGCAGCTGAGACCTGGAGATGTTGGGTAATTTGCCCAAGGTCACACAGGTAGTAAATTGTATACTCAGGATATGAACCCATGGCAGGGAAAAAGCAGATTGTAGAAGGAGGTGAATCAAGAAAGTTTTTTTTTTTTTTTTAAGGACGTGTGAAGTTGGACAAGGTTAATAGTCTTGCACGTGTAGATGTTAAGAAAGTAACTGGCTGTGTGAGATTGGAGTTCAGGACAGCATTATTTTGGAAATATAAATGGCAGGGGAGTCATCAGCCTAAAGATGCTGTTAAGAGTTGTGGGACAAATGCCATTACCAAGGGCGAAAAGGTAGAGAGCAGACTGGTAATGGGAGGTAGAGAATTCTTGCTATGAAATATCTTAGAAATAAACTGGAAAACACAGTGCTTACACAAAACCATTGCATTTCTACATCTGTAACTAAAAGAAAAATTAGAGTTGGGAATACAGTAAATTATAAAGTGGACTGAACATGTTGGGGGAGAAAACTTCCATACTATGACAAATTTAATTAGCAATAATCACGCCTCGGATAAACCTCATTGGCTACAATACTGCCACTGCGCAAAGCTGCTATGACAAATTTAAAGGAAACTCTCTTTTAAAAAAAATGATGCTGAAGAGAATATATGATCCAAGCAAATCAAATAAAAAATTGTATGAGAAAGGTCAACACATTCTTATTTACCAAAGTCAGAATACTGGAACTAAGAGGCACTTCCTGAGGCTTGAAAGAATTACATTGAGGACAAAATAAAAGAACTTTTTTCTTAATCAGTGGGTAGTAAATTTTTGAAACTCTTTACAAGTGACAAATAGGTTTCTACCAGTGGTAGAGTAGGTCGAAAATGTGCAGTTGATGGACAATGGAAATACCAAAGATTGTTTAAGGAAATGGAATATTTCAATGAATGGTATAGGTCTGTTCATTTAATTCTGATATCCCATTTCCTAACTTGCTTTTCTAAGAAAAATCATTTCAAGCCAATGATTGGAGTAGAAGAGATATAGTGTGATAGAATTTGGCTTTTTTTCTGTTGGACAAAAATTTTATAAGTGAATATTCTTGATTGATTAGTTTCCTTAAAACAATTATACCTGGTACATATATGATGATAAAAAGTTCATCTCACTATGATTTATACATAGTAGTACCTTAATATGTTAATCAATGAATAATTAACATCTGGAAACTAATCACTTTCTAAGTTGTATCTTATTCATGGGAATATAATTATTTTTCTAAATTTTAGGATTTTTAGAGATCTTAGATATCATACAGTACCCTCACTTAAGAAGGGAAGATCAAGATAAGGAAATTTTGTGAATTGCCCAAGGTCTCACAGTTTCTAAATTGTAATGCTGAAACTAAAATGCCTTAATTCAGCAAGAAAAACACAATCAGACAACTAGAACTGTATCTGGAAAGGTTTTGCATAGCAAAGGAAATAGTCAACAATGAGAAGGCATCCTGTAGAATGGGAGAAAATATTTGTAAATAATTTATCTGATAAGGGGCTAATATCTGTAACATACAAAGAGTTCCTGTAAGTGAACAGCAAAAATAAAACAACCCAATTAAAAATGAGGAAAAGATTTTAATTGATATTTCTCCAAAGAAAACCTAGAAATGGCCAACATCACTAATGTTCAGCATCACTAATCATGAGGGACATGCAAATCAGTCATAATGAATTCACTCATACCTGTGAGGTAGCTATTATTTTTTTTAAAAAGCATTGGTGTGTATATGGAGAAATTTAAACCCTTGTATTTTGTTGGTGGAGATTCATGTTATGGAATACAGTATGGTGGGTCCACACAGACACACACATACAGAAGCACACACTGGAATATTATTCAGCCTTAAAAAGGAAGAAGTCCTTCCATATGTGACAACATGTATTTATAGGGAGGGTGTTATGCTAAGTGAAATAAGCCAACCCCCAGACAAATACTCCAGGATTCCTCTTATATCTGGTATCTAAAATAGTCAAATTTCTAGAGTCTTAGAGTAGAATGGTGGTTGCTATGGGCTGGTGGGAAGGGTAAATGGGAAGTTGCTCTTCAGTGGGTGTAAAGTTTTAGCTATATAAGGTGAGTAAGTTCTAGAGATCTGTGGTATAACATTGTGCCTAGAATGAACACTATTGTATTGTGCATTTAAAAATGTTTTAAGAAGATAGATCTCAAATGTTTTTACCATAGTACTACTAATAAAAAAAACACACACATACGTGTACACCTACAGGCTGTAGGTAACTCTCTCCACAGCTATATCCACAATACTTTGCTGTGGCAGAAACCAGTAGCCTAAGAAAATTTGATGAAAACTCAAATGCATCTGCTGATGGAGCACTTGGTTAAAACATCAGAAGAGAGTAAGCAGTAAGTGATCAGATGCCAATTAATTTGTCCTAGCATGTTCAGATTGTTAAAGCTCAAAAGAAATAATAAATTCATAAAATTATGAGCTAAAAACTTTATTTAAAATGACAAAAAGAATGTGCTAATTCTTTACTCCCTGTTTTTTTCATTAGACTTTCTAAGTATGTGTTGCTTTCCCATTTGCCACAGTATATAATGGTTCAGCTAAGTTAGTAAATGTGCGAAGGTTTTTGTATAGCTCTTTATACAGTGTATTAATTTTCATAGGTACTATATATTTTAATTTATGTCATATTTGGAGTGTTAGCTTTCATCATAGTCCTTTGTTAAGTTATTCATACTTTTTTTGCTGCTGGGTGATGGAATGAGTTATTTCTACATACTTACCCAGACAGTTGTTCCTGTACTTAAAAAGGAAAAGCTAAACATTTTCTGTTTAGTTTAAATAACTAAGTGGCAAAAACTTTACAAGATGATACATATATTTAGATTATTAAGTATATTGACTTAAGACAAATCAGTTTAGAAGTGGTTATGTATATAGGAGAATACTTGTCTCAAATGAGCCAGCAATACTTTTTAAATATTGAAATGATATTTCTTGCTTTGCCAGTCTGTAAGTCAGAGGATTGTCTTCTAGCCTGGGGGATGATTTAGAGATAACTCTGCCTCTAGATATACTAGGGGAGTACTCAACTCTGGCTGTAGACTTCAGTTGTGATTCTGTGTTACATTATATATTAAGACACTATTTCCACAGGCCTGTCAATTTCTTATAAGTGTGACATCCTCAATTTTTCATTGTTTTCCTTTCACCTGTTTCACTTTCTTTTTTCTATAGTATGTTTTATTCTCCCAGAGGTCCTTTTGATCCTTAAATATTTATAGATTTTTTTATACCACCTTGGTGTATCATTAGCTATATATATGTGTGTGTGTGTGTGTGTGTGTGTGTGTGTGTGTAACTGGCATATATGTATGCCAGTTACTTCTTGGTACTTTTTATCTTTCTTTTAATAAGCTTCTATAAGAGTTTCCTTTGTATGTTTACTTATTATTTAGTCTGTAGAGTCTCCTACTTAGATAGGTATTTATAAATTTGCTTACACATTTATATCTTAATAGTAAATGTTTCCTTTAAGTTTCCATGTAAAGGAATGTTTGGTCTTTGTTTTTTAGTCCTTGCTATTTGATTTTTACTTGCTTATAAGTTATATACACATTTATTTCCTTGTGCATTTATTTTTACATCAGGAGATACTCCATTAACATTAGTGTTGTTACAGCTGTAGTTGAAATATAAGGTCCATCAGGAACCACGTCAGACATGTTTACTTGGTACAAAATCAGTTTTGAATAACTAAATTTTGTGAATAAAAGAAGGGAAGAATAACTTCAATCTCAATATGTATCTTCAAAAAACTATCTGACTGAAATCCTTTTGTGGTCGTCAGCCCAGCCTTGTTTGGCTCCAGTTGCAAAAATGCAAGTGGCTTTTGGACATAGTAGAGCAGAAAGGATGCCAGTGTTGGACCCAAGCAGTTCTTTCAAATCCTGGCCTTGCCATTTAATGGCTGTATAACCTTAGGCAAGTTCTTTAATTTCTCTTAGCCCAAAGGTTTTTAATGGGTAAGAAGAGGATAACCGTGTCTTCCCTGCAGGATGATTTTAACAGTTGTGAAAAGAAAATTGTGATGCCCAAAGATGATGCTCACTATATACCGTTAGCTTTTATATTTTACAGTGTGAAATAACTTGTTCCAAACCAGCATGCACATTTTAAAAATAACAAATTTACAAAAATACTGGCTTTAGGAATTGCTCACCATAGCTTAATATTATAATGATATACTTTTTTATATTCTCCCTATATATTCTTTTGTTTCTGCAACTTTTGTTTCCATATACCAGTTTATTTGTACAACTTGTCCCCTCTAAAGCATATGAAAATAATCTTCTTAGCTCATGCACTTAATGTTACATTCTCAGTTCTATACTAACATGGTATTAGTTGGAGATTGGTCAGAAAAGATGTGTTGCTCTACAGATTTTAAGCAGTGAAGAGATTTGATGTTAGAATTAATTACCAAACCACATGGAAAGACTAAGGGAATGAAATTCAGGGGAAGTGACTCTAATTGTTCATTTGACCACAGTCTTTCAGAGAGTCTGGAAATTCTGTAGCCCACAGGAAACCACCAGCAATTTTCAGCACTGCATGTATCATCAAAGCAGGTGACTTTTGGGGAAATGCCCAGTGGCTGCTGTAAAAATGTCTTACCTGCAGAAACCCACACCTCTGCCTTCCACCGCCCAGTAAGCCATATTAAATCTTCAGCATCTCCTTGGCTTGCAAATCTGATAGAAGATTCTGGAAAATGTGTTAGATACTCAGGCTTCTGGTCCCGGTGATACAGGGAGGGAGCATAGCAGGAGGAATGGTTTTGAGTTGCCAAGACATAAGCTGGCAACATTTTTCTGTCTATGACTATGGATTCTTATTCGTACTTCTCAGGCATGCTCTGTTTTGGAATTCTAATCTCCATTCTTCCCATTATTGAAATAATGATTATTGAATAAGTAAATACCTTCAAGACAGAGGTTGATTTATGTTTATCATGTATACTGCTGTCTCACATCTTTGTCTTTTTTTCTCTCAGAAACTTACCCTCTCCCTGTATGTACACCTATTAAATTTGACTTTCTTCCGTTGAAAAAAAAAATGTCTCTTGACCAGAGGTATGCAAATTATGGCATACAGACTAAATTTGCTCGTTGTTTTGCAAATAATGTTTTACTGGAAAATAACCATACTCATTTATTTCCATGCTGCTAGTGGTTTTCACACCCAACTCTTCATATGTTCAAGAGAAGCCACAAAGCCTACATATTTACCGTCTAGCCCTTTGTAGAAAAAGGTTGCTGACCACTGGTCTAGATAATACATAAGGAAGGGAACACCACAGGTGGCTTTTCTCCCTTTCTTGCCTATTGAATTTCTTTCATGACTAGTTAAATAAATATAGATTTTCTGATCTCATGGGTATATGATGTTACCAAATTATAGATACTTGTGTGGAACTCTGTCCATGATCTCAAGAATTTAAAAAAAAAAACAAACTCATGTATCTAACAGAAATTTGTTTCTTGACCCAAAACAATGAATATGTTCCAAATCTTCCTCC